GTGACTGACCACACACTGCCCCCTGGGAGAAAATGCCACTCCCTTGCTGGAAGCACCCGGTGTGAACTTATACTTTGCTTTGACCGTGTTCTCCCAGTTGCCCCAAGTGGTTGTGTTTTCCCTTTCCTTAGAAGCATTAGCCAAGGGGCTAGGAATTCCATTATTTTTCTCTGTTTGCTGAAGATTCAACTGTGTCTTTATTTAACATTAGGTTTAATTATTGATGCTTTTGGAGAACTCAGAGACCAGCAGGAACAAGTCAAAGAAGACATGGAGGTGAGGCTTTTGGGTCAGGACTCAGCTTTGGCTGTTGCTGTTGCAGGCACTCATTTTCCTCTCTGCCTTTGTCGAGAGAATCATGAACATAGGAGAAAGGAGCACAATGCAGAATGTGTGGTTTCAGAAAGGAGGGCAACGCAGGATGTGTGGTTTCATTTGCTATCATCAATTTAGGCAGTACCTGTGATTGAGCAGGGTGCCAGGCTGGAACCCAGTAGACCCTAAGTGCACATGCACAAATACAACACCATCCTGTCCCTCAAGACATAGAGAGATCATTCATTCAAAACCGTGGATTCACTAACAAATAAAGCAATAGATGATAACAGAACATCATCAAGAACCCTTTATGTACATAAACCCTGAGTCCTGGGGTCTCCGGGCTGGTGTCTAATTTATTACTGAATGATCAGAAAACTTCTTGGAAGAACAGATGCTCAGCTGAAGGTTCCAGACGTGTGGGTTTGAGGGGAAGAAAGCAGGATACCTTAGGCGACCTTCTGGTCCTGTGTCCCCTCCAGGCACATCTTCGTGAGTCCCACCTTTGAGTTGCCCAAGGGTATCACCATCTGATATATCAGTGCTTCAAGATGAAGCATTAACTTCTAGGGGGCGGGCTGCAGATGAGGGCCAGCAAATAAAGAACCTAGTAATTCATTTGTGAGATTGACAGTTTAATGTATGGACTGTGGAAAACAGGAAAGGAGTTTCAAGCAGGATAGTAAGATGATTGGACTTGCATTCTGAAAAGATAACCATAGTTTAAAATATGAGGAATGAATAGGAGACTGCTAAGTGCAGGGGCAGGTAAAGGAGCTGTCAGCATTTTCCAGATGGGAAATTATGAAGTTTTTGGTAAAGGAGAGCCACTAAGGATTCGGAAACTAAATGGATTGAACCTGCACTTGGGAGGTAGAATGAAGAGAACTTAGTGAGTGGCCAACTGGAAAAGAAAGAAGACGGGGCAAGGACAGGGGATGCCCAGCTTCAAGCATGAATGACCAGATAGTGCAGTTAAGTGACCAGCGTAACCTAGAAGCAAAGCACGTGCATAAGTATCACTTACGAGCCGAGTTGAACCTGCTCAGTGTGAGAGCCATCCACTGGCGTGGTGTAGAGACCTGATTGTCCTCCCTATTGCTGTAGGGGGCCTATCTGCTACCTGCAGTTGTTGATTAGTAAGGCAGGAAGAATTTTATACGTAATCATAATCATCTTGATTCGCAGCCTTAGAATCCAGCGCATTGTAACCATGCTTCAGAGTATTAAGCAGCTTCTATCAGGGAAAGTTGGGCACCAGAGTGACATGAGGACAATAACTATTGAATGAATTAGAGTCAGTACATATGAAAATTTTTAGCATTTGTTTGAAGGGCAAAATGGCAGACACAGAGTCAGAGAGACAGAAAGAGAGGGACAGAGACAGCTCCCATATGGGATGTGTGTGTCCCAAGTAGCATTTTAACTACTACACCAAGCACCCACCTTAGTACAGATGATATTTTAATAATGAAATAGAAGGTTTTGTGGCCCAACCCTACAGATGGCAGACCTGAGCTGGTGCTGCTCCACAGGCTGCTTGAAGAAAGGTATGGTCCAGAATGCATGTGGGAGGGCAAATGATTAGGCACCTGGTTCCTAGAGCTGACATCATTTTCAGTATCTGTCCACTGACTAATCTTGTACATAGCAAAGTGCCTGGCACATGGCTGACCCTCAAGGAATCATGGATGGCACACCTTGTAGCTTCATATGTGATTTGACTTTCCCCAAAGGGAAATTTTTGTGCCTTTTCCCTCTTAGTCATCAGAATTTGTTCAGGTAGCAACGGAGTTTGAAGTTTTCTTTGAGGACACAGTTAATTCTGCCTGGGTAACTTGAGTCAGTGCCATGAACAACAGCGGTCACTTGGACATCAGTTTCACCCAGACTGGAGAAAAAAGTGCCTTACAGCTAGCATTATCCTGTACTTTTTCTTCATCTGTTACTTCTTTCTGCTGGTATCTATGCAATTCCAATGCTGAGACACAGTTGCAGTAGCTAGTACATTCATATTCATAGACTGGCACAACCTCCTTTTATAGTGATCTCTGCCATACCTTAAGTAAAGTAAATTGATGTGCCTAAATGCTGAATTGTGTTTTCCTTTTGTCTTGGGTTTTCAATTCCCTGACATTTTCCTATTTCCCTTTGTCTTCTAGACCAAATGCTTCATCTGTGGGATAGGTAATGACTATTTTGACACAGTGCCACATGGCTTTGAAACCCACACCTTACAGGAGCACAACCTGGCCAATTACCTGTAAGTGAGCTCATCTCTGATGCTTCTGCCTGTCTGGTAGCCACCAGTTCCCCCCAACCATGGGAAGTGTGAGAAGTCAGACAGAGAGAAGCTTCTTTTTCCTTACAGTTGCTGTAGATGCTTAGACAGCTAGTCTTTCCCTCTGGAGTAGGTTGACTTAGGAAATGAAGTTGCAGCCCTTAATATAAACAGCTCTTTCTAGCAGGCAAAATGGATTGGTGGAAAGGGTGGAGCACAGCGTCTCAGGGAGTCTTGCACGTGTTTCTCATTTCGAATAGGAATCCACCAGCTGCTGCCTGGAGATATGTGAATCTCCATTTTTCTTTTCTGAGGACTTAGATTTCTTTAGGCACTATTGGAAACCCAGTTAAAAGTTGCATTTATTTTTTAAATATGTAGAATTCTGGTCATTACTTGGAACTAGCCAAAAAGTACTTTGGTAAAATGCCATTTGTACACATTTGCTGACTCAATTTTAACATTAAACAGAAGAGGTGTAGAGTAGTATTATATGACAACATATGGTTTCATTATACTCAATTGAACCAATCTATAAGTTAGAACTTCTCATAAGCTAGTCATCAGTTGAAATTCATCAGTGTTGATTTGATTCTGACAAAAATATCTGTATTCCTTACCTGAAGTTAAAGTGCCTCTAAGATAAAATCATGCACCAGATCAGAAAAGTTAAGTAAAAAATATCCTTATCTGTTTCTGGTAAATTATAATTAATTTAAAAAATGTATTTGTGGTGTTTTCTTTGTGCTTATTGTAACTGAACACAATATATAACATGTGAAAATATTTCTTGTGTGTGTGTACTGATATCTCCATGCAATCCAATTCTGATCAGTGTCTCTGTATCTCTAGGTTTTTTCTGATGTACCTCATAAACAAAGATGAAACAGAACACACAGGACAGGTAGGTAAACAGGGACTAAATACCATTCCCTGAAAAAGAGGTAGAGAGACCCTAACGCAGAACCCCAACATTGACCTGAAGGTGTGTATTAAACAGCAAGGCAGTGGGAATTACTTTCAGATATCCATCATGGCATCTCGGTATAAAATTCCTGTTGTCTTGGGTGATTGTGGAAAAGATTGTCTTTGTTGAAAGAGTAAAATTCTAATTTTACATAAAAGGTGAACTTTTTTCACTTGAAAATGTTAGATTTGGGTTCTGAATACCCTGTTTTAAGAAAATTGAGTGTTCTTAATTATAATATTCTTGACTGGTTAATCAGACAGCAGATGATTTCAAGGGAACTTCACCCTACAGTATTATGATCAGTAAAAACTGACAGAATGTTGAATGCGTAACATTTCTAAGATGTTTGGAATTCCACAAGTGTTCACCACAAATTATTAATAGCTTGAATTTAAAGAAGACACTTAATAAAATATACCACATCCCATAAAAGCATCCCACAAATATACTTCATGGTTATTATATTGTGGTCAAGATGAAGATTGGTGATTTTGTTTATTAGAAGTAAATAGGGGGCCAGCACCGCAGCTTACTAGGCTAATCCTCCGCCTTGCAGCGCCAGCACACCAGGTTCTAGTCCCAGTCGGGGCGCTGGATTCTGTCCCGGTTGCCCCTCTTCCAGGCCATTTCTCTGCTGTGGCCAGGGAGTGCAGCTGAGGATGGCCCAAGTGCTTGGGCCCTGCACCCCATGGGAGACCAGGATAAGTACCTAGCTTCTGCCATCGGATCAGCGCGGAGCGCCGGCCGCAGCGCACTGGCCACAGCGGCCATTGGAGGGTGAAACAACGGCAAAGGAAGACCTTTCTCTCTGTCTCTCTCTCTCACTGTCCACTCTGCCTGTCAAAAAAAAAAAAAAAAAAAAAAAAAAAAAAAGAAGTCAATAGGGTCTGGTATATTTAGTTAAGAACTACCTAAATCAATTTGGACTTCTCCAATTACAGTGAGTTTCTATCATATATTTTGTGTTAGTACACCGATTTTTTGGAAAATACTAATGCATTTCCTTCACTTCTACAGGAATCCTATGTCTGGAAAATGTATCAAGAAAGGTGCTGGGAATTTTTCCCGGCAGGGGATTGTTTCCGGAAACAGTATGAAGACCAGCTAAATTAAACTGAGACCCTCAGCACCTCTGAAATCACCCCTGCCTTCTCTGTCTCTTCTCTTCCCCACCCCTTCCTGCGTGTTCTTGGAATCATCCTGCTGACTTCCTAAAGTGGAGGCATTGTGTGCTCTCTGGGAGCGTCCAGGCTCCCTTTCTGAACCTGACTGTTTTTCCCCCACCTCACACATTCTCTTTGAGACTAAAGACTGAAGAATAGTTTAAATTCATACACAGAGAAAACAAACTCTGGAAACAAAACCATTCTGGACACCGTCATAACACGCTCGCAGGTTTTCTTCTGAGACTCCTGGAAGTCTCCGTGAGCCATGGGGCCCTCACAGAGCAGCGTGGCAGCCACACTCACCCGGCCTCTTCATTTCACCATCCTGAAAGGAGCTGTCTCAAGGTCACAGAGCACTTGTAGCACTTAACAGATTGCTGTGGACACCAGTTTCGAAGGGAAATAGTGCCTTACTATATGTGGGTTGAGCTATGCAGAAGATACGTGCATGAAAAAACATCTCTATTTTCTTTATGTCAACCTTTTTTCTTTCTTAGTTCCATTGATTTTGTGAAATTTTTTCCCCTTTCTTCTTTCCTTAGATGGGGGAGGGTAAGAAAACGTTTGTTCACACCTTTTTACAAAGACGGGTGGGTGTCTCAGGATGGAGGGAGGCTCTTTCTCATTCTTCACATTCACCCTCCCCATGTGCTTCTGCTCTTATTTCGGTAATGTTCTGATGCAACGTTGCAACTTTATGAAATCTTTGTATGAAAACAAAACGACTGCAAAAAAATACACTTTCAAAAGAAATAATTCATTGCATGTTTATTATGCAAGTTTAAACGAACAAGAAAACCTTCAGAAGCAAGTTGATCAACATGAGAGAACTTTCATGATAATTATATTCATAGTAATAAAAGTGTTGTGGGCTTAATTGTATATTTGGAGCCAGTGTCATCCACCAACAATGTGATAACGTTATGAACTTGACAGTAGTTTTGGGTTTTTCTCTTTCTTTCGGCCACCTGTGATCAGTTGTTGATTAAGGACTTCGTTTTTCAGGCCATTTTTTAATATCAAAGCTGAAGCAATATCCATTCAGGGATTTCATCAGTTGCATCACAAAACATGGATGAGAATTTAAATCACTCCATTTTGTCCATTTTCAGTCCTTTTAAATGTAATGCTAATCTTTACAATTAAAAAGACAGATTCAGAATGGAAGCAAAGTCATTTTGCAAACATTGGAGCTCTTTTATTACAAGTCTGCTTGTTAATTTTAGAATTGTAAAACTGCTCTGATTAAACTATTTAACTAACTTTCTCATCTTTTTTCTCTGTTTCTTGTATAACTGGGACTGCGTGTCACTTGAGATGGGAGCTTTAAACTTGTGGTGGATAGAGCACATTTCCTAACTCTGCACTGAGACCTCTAATACTCGTTTTGCTTTGTTCTTTGGTAGCTGATCAACTCTGCTGTGGTTGTGATGACTGAGCCCCAAAGTCATCAATTACCTGGCTGCACCTGATCATTCCTCTTTGATGAGGTCATCCAGACCTCTTGAAATCTTCTAATGACAGAAGAAACAAGCAGTGTCTCCCAAATTGTTTAATTTTAGAAAGCTCTTCCTTGCTCAGGATAAATTTATTTCCCATAATAGTAGGGATCTATTTTCTTTCTTAATAAGAAAGAGAATTGGTACATTAGTAAGCAGTGTATCAAGCACTCAAATACCAGTTGAACCTTTTCTGTGTGCCAAGAATGGCGATGGGTACCAGGGATACTTTTTCTGTCATTTTATTCCTTATCAGCATGGTAGCAAAGCTCTGGGATCCATACTTTGCATTTGTCTTTAGGTATCGCTTTTATTTGAGAGAAGGAATAAATTTGGCCCTACCATGGGAATTTCCAGACTCTTTCCGGAGATGGTCTTATGCTTGGAAGAGTCTGAATAAAATTAATTAGGGTGGCTCCAGAAAACATAAAAAACAAAACAAAACAAAACACATGGCCCCTTGCTTTGAATCACTTCAGAGGAAGCATCTAGTGGAGAGGAATAAGTCTTTTTCCAGGCCATAAAGTCCACTGAGATAGTCAAGTCTCCTATTAATAATGCCCAGATTGGTGTTGACCCAAAACAGCAGTACAGGTGAGATGTGAATGAGTAGGTTTGTAGCTGTCCTTAGATTTTGCAGGCTTGTGTACATTGTTCTCACTGATGCTGTCAGCTTCCAAGTCTTGGGACAGAACCTAAGTATCTGAGGTGGATGTAGAAGTTGGGTAGAATTTGGGAAGAGGAAGCTTCTGTTGGCCAATGGGCTTTGCATACATGTCAGTTTTGGGGGCAGAGCAAAGGAACAGAGTTGGGGACCAGAGAATGCCTGGCTTCCCAGCCCATCGTTGGCTTTCCCTTCTCCAGGCCTCAGAAGGGATGAGGGAGCTCTCCTCATCAGCACTGTTAATTCCTCCAGGAAACATCTCAGTGAATCTGCACTGACCTTGGCTCTCCACTTCTCTCATTCAACTTAGGGCCCTCTGACCCAAACACAAGAAATGGAATCCTTTTAGAAACTTTATGTTATACCAATATCCAAATGTTCACGGAGGACATAATAACCGCTACCTATCAGCTTCAGTGCTTGCAGACATCATTCTGCCCTTCCTGTTTCATCTCTTCCTCTATTTTTCCTGGAAATAACTTTTGAACTGACCCCATAAGATAGGGTTAAGTCCACAGTTTAAGTTGATGCTTTCCAACTCTACTCTGGTCATGAGTGTCCAAAGGGTATTCCTGGGCGTTATTTTCATGTGTAGGAAGTAATTTGTTCTCAGCCCCACAAAACTCCTTTAAAAGCCCTATTGGAATGAAAACACTTTATGCCTGATTGTAAAAATCATACCCAGAAAAATTGTACAGTTCTTCACTATCTTGCTTTACTGAGAAAATGTTCATATTTTTCTTAAATTCCCATTTTCTTGGTGAATATAACAATATGGCCCCCATTTCTGGTAGGATCACTGAGTGATTCTCAGTGGTGATTACTTCATTTACACTGGACACAGTGAAAGAGAACCTTTTAAAAATGTATTATATGGACTCAAGCACATAATTCACGTGACCTGGACATGGAAAACACCTGGTTAGACATTCCCCAAAGTATTTGGTAAATATCTATTGTTTTGTGAAGAAGATGACCTCACCATCCCTTGCTAAAGACATTTTTGCCCAGCACTCTGGGATAGCTGTGGTAGAAGCTGGACAAAAAATGCATCTTGGTCATGATACAAGTGCTAGGATGATGGCACCTGGGTTTATAATCACCATAAGTATTAATAGCACACATTTCTAAACAGGACAAACATCTGTATCATAGCATCTAATATTATACAAATTGAATGGTGTTATTAATATGTATAGAAAACAGTAATTATATAAACCCTTGAAATTCCATGTTTCTCAAATCATTTATATATGTATATGTAGTCACAACTCAGTACAGAGACAGTGTAAAACAGTAGCTCTAATTTCCTTGTACACATAACATTTGAAGACTTCTAGAATGTTAGAGCTGAAAGGGATTTATGCTGTCACGTTTCAGGTGAAGCAATCCAGGCAGGTTAAATGGTTTGGTTGAAATCACAAGGTTAGTGGGAAGGCTGGAGCTTTTTCAAAGAAGCCAGGTTTTCCATTAATCTTTTTCCTAATACAACCAGAACGGTTTGAAAAATAATACCCTTCTCATGAACTAGCCAAAATGAAGCAGGAAAGCTGATACTTAGAAAAGTTTTCGATGAAATATCATCAGTGTTCAACATAGACATTCTGATTCTGTGATAGGGGAATTCTGAGAGTGACAGAATGAACAACTGGTTTCAAAATGCGCCATTGAACATAGCTATTTCTGAATATGGAGCCAAGTGTCAACTCTAGTCTAAGTAAGAAAGCTTCTGAAAGAATCTAGTTGTGGTTGTCATATTCATCATGATTAAAATCACTTGGGTTCATATTCCCTTATTAAAGACTGTGTGTCATTAATGAGGACAGGCTTTAAGGGACCCAGGAATCCTGTATGTTACTGTGCTGCTGGTGGTATAATTGCAAAAGGGCATCGGTTTGCCTTTCATGGCAGAGAAGAAAAACTTTTCCTCTATGCTGTTAATCCAGCCTGTAGAGGCCTGCAAATTAAAGTGACCAATGTTAGATTAACAAAAGAAAAGACAGATTTCTATTCAAGTGTGTGCCTAGGAATTTACAGAAAGATATGACACAAGGAGGCTATGAGAACCTGGGGCTAGGGCCTGTGCTGTAGTCCAGCTGGTTAAGCCAAGGCCTGAAGCACTGGCATCCCATATGGGAGCCAATTTGAGTTCTGGCTGCTCCACTTGTGATCCAGCTCCGTGATAATGTGCTTGAGAAAGTAATGGAGGATGACCCAAGTGCTTGGGCTCCTGCACCCATGTGGGGGACCTGGAAGAAGCTCCTGACTGCTGGCTTTGGCTTGGCCAAGCCCTCGCCATTGCAGCCATTTGTGGAGTGAACTAGTGGATGGAAGATACTTCTCTCTCTCTCTCTCCCCCTCCCTCCCTCCCTCCCTCCCTCTCTCTCTCTCCTTCTCACCCTCCCACCCTCTCTCCTTCTTACCCTCTCTCCCTCTCTGCCTCTCCTCTCTTTCTCCCTCTCTCTCTTTCTCTCCCTCTCTCCCTCTCCTCTCTTTCTCCCCCCCTCTTCTTCTCTCTGTAACTCTGCCTTTCAAAAAGATAAATAAAAGAAGACAAATCTGGGATTTACATTAAATCTTAATAAGGAAGAGGGTAGGGCAGAGGGGGCACTTCTGTGAGAACAGATAACCTCTGTGTAGGTGTAAAGAAAGGACGCCTAAGGAAGAATGACTTTCTGGAAAGATAAATGTCCTCTTAACAGAACAGATGAGAGTTTTCCAACATTGTCTGGGTGTGGTGCTTACTCCTGTCTCCAAGAAGAGAAGATTAGAGTTTCTCTCGGGGAAGGGATTTATGATGATTAAATTCTTTGGGGAGGCTGTACTTTGCATCAGATAAGGAATTTAATGAACTCAAATGCCTTCAGCTCAAAGTAATTTTTATGGCACAGTGGCTTATTCTAGACCCATTCACTCATCAACTCCTACACACCCATAAAGTGTTCCAACTCCTTTTAAACATCATTAATTTTATGTTTATTTTCTTCCAAGAAATCTGTGACCTTGATGTATGTACACTCTTTATTAACCATTGCTAAATAGGTCCTAAAATTGTTGATTGTAGAGAAAAGAATTCACTTTCTTAGACCTGGTTAACATTACCAGCTGCTATAAAATATAATGTTCCCAATGTAAAAGATCCCATATCAACAGGTAAGCAGAAACTCGAGTTAACAATTGTT